CCCCCCGGTCTTTGGACTGAACGTCACTATTGTCATTGCACTGACAGACGGACTCAGAAAAAGATAGAAAAATGACGGCAATGACGGCAGAACAAGTGGAGAGAGCTGAGAGAGAGGTGATGAAGTACGTGACAGAGGGAATCCACTTTGACAATGAGGACGAGTTTAGACTATGACGCGAAAGGGCACCGGCGTACTTCAACGTCGCCTTCGACATCCAGAGGTCAATAGCAGCAAACGGAGACAAATCGACGAGAGCGCAGCAGTTGCTGCATCGCTTACAACAAAGTGCGTTTGTGGCTAAAGACGAGACGTTGGCATGTTGCTCTGCGTACACCCTTTAGCGAGTTGTGGAATGGATGTGTGATAACGAAGACATCGACAAGAATAAGAGAGAGGGAGGTGGTTTTTACGACAAATTGGCGTTCAAGAAGTTCGTCACATCTCGGGCGAAGAAAGCTCAAATGTTGAAGACAGAAGCGCATGACATATTGAAGAGTAATGCAGCGGAGATATTGGCACTCAGCAGGATGAACGAGCTACCTCAAACAGACCCTGTTGACTACCATGATTTGGCAACAGTGGTGGTGGACGATGTCTAGTATGTCTTGCTCGATCAGATTATGGATTTATTGTTGAAGACATATAATAATACAAATTTGATTCACGAGGCCTTACACGAGGTGACAGAGGACGCAATAGCAGCAGCAGAGCTTGCCGATGTCAATAGCATAAAGGATGAAAATCAACTAGTATCGGGGACTCCAATATGTCAGGGGGACATATTCACAGTCCTGGAGGACCTCACCAGGGCATCAACGGAAGCAGAGAGAATGAGCAAATGAATGCAAGGATGACAAATGGTTGTTGTGGAAGCAATCAATGCGACACACCATATGCCAGATAGCACACTGCACACTATAAGTGGTGTGGGATTTGTAACAGCGGTTCAGAACCCGTTGACGATTCCTACTGCGGATACATTGAGTGTCCATAATGCATTCAGAGTGTGGAGATTACCACCCTATTGTCCTTCACATGAGATCATCGAAGGACACGAACAAGTGGCATTCCAGGGAATGCATGCAGATGGCGGAACTAGTGAGAGTGGCAATGCACATACAGGGGATGATGAGAAATCGTCGTCATGCGAGGTGGGATTGAGTGGCAGTGATATCTGCGATGACGAGGAGGGTGACGAATACGACTCTTATTGGGACGTTTAGCGTGGTGGTGGACAGGTCCCGAGAGAGTGGTGTCATGCAATTTTAAGGTTGGCATGTGTTTTCGCAGAGCCACACCCGTTGATACGTGTTGTGGACAAGGCAATAACACCGGACGAGTCTCTTCAGTTCGCAGGCGTTAAGACAGTTATGTCGTGCATGGAAAACGACAAACGATGGCGTCACACAGGATAATCATGGTTTGTTCTCGTACATGAGGAGACAATTCTTATGACAATAATGTCATGGGGTGTGAACCTCAGCTGCATCATACATGGAGCAGTTGCCACTGCATGCGGAGGAACCGTGCATCCCACATTGTCAACAACACATGCAATTATAAATGCACAACCAAAACGCCGACTCTCTCTCACGACAGACGACACCATCGATGCTGTGATGGACAAAGGACATTCAGAGGAAGAACAGTCAAAACGCAAAAAATTCACGGATTCTCTCTCTCTCTCTCTCATTCTTTTTTTTTTTTTTTTTTCTCTCTCTCTCTCTCTCTCTCTCCCCCTCTCTCTCTGTGTGTGTTACTGTTTTGACCGTATCACAGTCACTCACGCTTGTGATGATGTGGTTGGGAAGTGGGGGCCATATATGAAAACGTTGTTGGTATATTACGGCGTAAGTGACACCCACTTCCTAACCTTGTACAAATGTGAGGTTTTTTATGTCTTTATTGCTAAAATTGCATCACATTTACAGACCGGTCTTCCATATATATTCGTGACGATATCGTTGAGATGTCGGGGCCGTGTATTAACATGTTGTTGTCGTATTCGGCCATAAGTGACACCCAGTTCCCAACTTTGTTGAAATGTTGCAGTTACACAAATTGGTTCCTAAGCCATCTCTCTCTCTCTCTCTCTCTCTCTCTCTCTCTCTCTCTCTCTCTCTCTCTCTCTCTCTCTTATTGTTTTGACCGTATCACTGTCACCCACGCTTGTGACGATGTGTTTGGGAAGTGGGGGCCATATATGAAGACGTTGTTGGTATATTACGACGTAAGTGGCACCCACTTCCCAACCTTGTACAAATGTGAGGTTTTTTAT